GCCCTATTGTTTTTGTTCTGATTATTCTTCTTTCTTTCTTTTCTTTTTCCTTGATCTTCAACATCTTGCTGTAACTTGTACAGTTGCACAACATTTTCTTTTCTGCTCAGTTTTGGATCAAATGCCACCCAAAAAATTGACAACACACCCAAAACCAGCAGAATGATGTGTGATTTTTTTCAGAATTTCCTCACCAACATCTTGACTGTTGTACAAAAAACTGACAAAAAAGGTTAAACCGTCACATGTGACGTCACTACCTCAACTTGTGAGAAGGTGTGTGGAAACAGCTTCTCACCAGCAGCTCAATCAGTAAGTCACCTGCTCTGGAGATCTGCTGGTCCAGGGTTCAAATCCCCAGATGACCGAGTCAGACTTACTGACAATCAGATTGTTCAGATCATAGTGAGTTTAAGTACTTGATTTTTTTTTTTTGGATCCCTAGCACTTTCTTCTTATTTTTCTCTGTTAAAAAGAGTTTTGCAGCTTAATCTTTAAATCTAGAAACACAAAATGTTGCAGGTAGGTTGAATATTTCACTCAAGTCGTCTGCGTCTGTTCTTCACCTCTGAAAATGTCAAATGTTGCGTTTTCATGACTTGCTTGATCCCGATCATTGCCGCTATATTTAATGTTAATAAAGTTATTTATAACACTAAAATCTTAATAAAGATCATTAATTACAGGGCACCACCCTGGGATCAGGGACCAATAACCAAAATGTGTTAACAGACTCAGAAAGGGATTTGTCTACATAGAAATGCCAATATTTAAACACAATTTTACATAAAAATGAGGAACAGTGAAGTGTGACTCCGAGCCACTGACTGTCGCCAGTTGTTATTACAACACATACACAAATAAACACAAGCAACTGCTCTTTTAAAAGTACAATACAGTTTATTTAACTTCAGCACTGATCACTAATCAATAACTCCAGACGATAAACCACTATTATCTACTTTAAGCCCAATCAAAGTATACAACAATCAGCAAGCATGTGATGCAGGTATGTAGGTGTGTGGGGGACAATAGAGGGGGGAGAGCAAGGAAGACTGCGGATGTGACCAAGTGGGTAGCTCGTCACGTGACGAGCCCCGCAAAGCTTAAACAAAGAGGTTGGGAACCAAACTGGAGCACGCACTCTACCTGTACTCACTAAGATGGCGTGGAGCACCGCTGAGTTAGGCTGCCACTCTATCTGTGGGTTCCAGATGTATATGTGTGTGGATGCGCGTAAGGTGTGTAGGTTGATAAAGCAAGTAGTAGTAAGGCAGAGATAAAAAGGCAGTCGGCAGCCGTTTTACTGGACTTTTGTCTGATAAATCACAGTTATTGGCACGGAAGCACACAGCAGTAAAGAGGATGCGGCGATCCGTCAAGTGTTGGAATTACTTTCTACTAATCACGGCTGAAATTCACATCAGCTTTTAAATATTTGATTCTTGATAGTCAGCATTTAACATGCAAAGAAATCTTCTTTAGCATCATATGTGTTGTGTTTCTGGCGAAGCACTGTATTACTCATACATTCCTCCGGAAGGGGCCTATTGTGTGGAGAGAGGCTCAATGCCTCCCTTATTCAGGGGTGCTCCCAGTCAAGCAAACGCTCTGGTGAATATGGGTCAAGATGACCTCCACCTTCCCTATGAGGAAAGCACACGAACAAACTCTCTGTCTTCATTGGATATATTTAATTGATTGATGCATACAGTGTGACAATAAAGCTTTTTTTTATTTTGTTAAGAAAATAATGGTCAAAAGTCGAACAGGAGAAGTTTAGAAAGGTGTGTTTTGCAATATGGCCTGCACAAAGAGGAGCGTAAGAGAAAATCTAAATGAATGTTGTAACATGGAGCCTGATCAGTTGCTCCCTGGGACCAGCTCGGATTAAGTTTAATATCACTCACTCACTCGTCAAGTGCTTATCCTGCAGGCTGGAGACAGGTTGCCAGTCCATCGCCGGGCCATTAAGTTTAATATGATTTATTAACGTTGTTGCATTTCTTTCGAATGTTATAGAGGCTGCTCATGTAGCGCCCCACCTTTTGCTAGCTGGGCTCAGGTAATGTGGGTGAGTTTTCAGTAATGGCATGAATGGATTTTAATGTTTTGCTGCTTTATGAAGTTAATTAGAATAATGTTTAGAACATTTTCGAGTGGGTTAAATAAATGAATCATGATGACAGGTTCTTAAAATGAGTTGGAATGCCCAACCCGCCATGCTCGTGCAGTGTGCAGGTTGGGCTCGTCACTTTGATGTTAATGATTGTGTGGCACTTTGGCGGTTTGGTTGTTCACTCGGGGGGAAGCACTGCTCTCTGTTGTGCGTGCGCTGCGGTCGGTCTGGGTCGTTTTATTTTCTGCCACCCCTATTGGCTACTGGGGTTCTTGCCTGCCTGTTGCTGGGGTCGGTGCCGCACGGTTGTGGCGTCCTACTCTCACTAACAACTACATTCTTTAACAGGCTTATGTGCACACACTCACACGCACACAGACACACACAGTCTCACACATAGACACAAACAAATTTAGGTTGTCCCTGGTAGAATTATTCTTGATGCTTTTCTTTCAGTTACTTCTTTAAATTAATTATTATTCCAGCTCTCGTGGCTGTGCTGTGTTGCTTATTTATTGTGCTTGTGACTGTTTCTTGTTTTATATATCTCTTCATTTTCTTTCTGTCAGCTGTTTATTGCTGCTGTTTGGCTGGTTGTCTTTTTTGTTTGATTGTTTGTGTTTGTTTGTTTTTTTTCCCCCCTCCCCGTTTCATTGCTTTCTGCAATTGGTGTTTCCCTCTGCTATTTCCTGTTGTCCCCACCCCCATCCCCATTCTCTTGCAGGTGTTGTCCTTTCTCTGTGCTGTCTGTTTGTGCGACGTTTGTTAGATCTACTTGTGCCCTAGTGATGATGGGGCAGTGAAATTTTAAGCCTGTTAACTTACACATTCACACAGTGGTGATTTTCTTTATTCCTGCATGTGACAGTTGCAGCTGTGTTGTTTCTAGCCTGGATTATGTTTTTAACTTTAATAATATAGTTTGCTCTTTGTTTGTAATAATTGTAAAATGCCGCTCTGTAGCCTTTTATGTAAACGCGCTCATGGCTGGATTGGGAATCCTATGGGCTGATTTACCAAAGTGATAACCAGTGTCGCCTGACCGCTTGGCCTGATCGCAATTGTTAGGGTTAGTGAAGCCAGATAACAAAAGGATATTCTGGGTATGTTGAACTTGCTTTGTAGTCCCCTGCTATCCTAACATGGCACAGATGGTACCTCATGAACACACATATCTGTACAAACACACGTTGCATGACAAGATAATCTAAACACCAAATCAAACCTCAGATTTATGAAGAGAAAACAACGGAAAGAAGAACTCACTTTTCCTCCATCACAGTTATTTCTGGAAGCAAACAGCCTGAAACCTGCACTGAGCCTCCATCTATCACAATGATGTTATGATTCCAGCAGCATGTTGCTTTTGTGAGACCAGCTGTGTGTTTGCTGTTGGTTGACAATGATATTATGACTGAGGAGTCCACACTGACAGATAATAGTACCTGAAGTAGTGTGAGGTAATCTCGACCTGCAGATAAACACAGAGCACTTCCAGGGTCAACAAGTTAGAGTTTCATAACTAAAGAAAATATTTTTGCTGTTTGTTATTACAATTGAACACGAGAACACTCCGTGAATAGCAAACAACAAACATGACACAACACACGTGTTCAAATGAGCTATTCCTCTGTCAGCTTCTCCCCTGAAGGGGACACTCACAACCTGACCTGTCTCAGTTCATCGAACCATTATTACTAACCATGTCAACTGGACAAAGTGGTGTGTTTTGAGCTCCACCGCATTCACATTTATACTGTTACACAAAAAGGCATCGATCACTCTCTGCTGCTCATCCATTAGTTTCACAAATCAGCATTTTCACAAATCATGTACCTTTCGGTGTCAGCCCTGATCTTTTTTTTTTATTAACCCCAACACTCAAATACGCATTTATACGAGTTTAAAAAATGACAGGAGACAGACAGAACTGAAATTTACTTCATATTTCATTATAGAGCAAAAACCCTAATCTCTATTACCTCCCTCAACCAGCTCTTTAATTCATTTTATAAAATGTACAATTGCCCTTTTATACTGTCGTAAAAAACAACCACAAGTTCAATGAAATTTTCTTCTTCAAGATGTACAGAACATTTAATGTTCTGGAGGATATCTTTCTCAGCTGGAAGATTTTGGCCAACTAAGCAGCAAATTCATGCCCTACAGTGTTTCAAAGAACAAAGAGGAGGTCAAGTCCTGTGCAATTTCCTGAAAAGTGCATTTTAGTTTACAGTATTTCTCTTCATTAATGCCGGGAGCTTCAGTTAATGTTTATGTTCTTTTTTCCCAGGAATTATCTTATATGTCCTGTAATGGAGATGCATATCTCAGCTGGAAGCACTAAATCAAATAAGCAGAATGTTCATGTTTCACAGTATATCCGACGATTGAAGGAACAGAGTTTGAGTAAAAACTTCAGCTTTAACTGAAATGTGCAAAGAACTGAAATGTGCAAAAGTCCAGCAGAATAGTGTTACAGCGTCAACTCAGCATGAAAAGGACAAATTCAAATCACTCAAGTAATACATAGAGGCCTGAAGCATAGGCACTGTGGTGGCCTGTTAAAGGAGACTTATTATGCTTTTCCATATTTTGTCTTATCTACAATTTTTCAATGTTGGATGTCCATGTTAAAAATGGCTAAAGCTTCAAATAAGAGGTTTAAGTATTTAAAAGAAATCCCTGTGAGCCACAATCTCAGATTTTTTTCTGACTTAAAGAGACAGGAGCATCTACAGCTTGTTTCAGACAGAGGCTGAAATGAAGGCCTACATGAAGAGCGAGTGTAAGATAGAAAAAGATTTTTTTTAACTTTAAATCATGCAAAGCTGCCATACAGGATTCAAAGGTTTGATGCTAACACTGTTAGAAAGGTTACCTGTATATGACTCCATGATGGTGAAGGAACATCAGAGCAGACGTGACCTCAGCCGCGTAAAAACGAGATCGCGCCTCGTCAAACTTCCTCGACCGTTGAATCTGAAACATCAGGTCGCCTCCGTTAACGTACTCCATCACGAAGAACAACCGATCCTGGATTGAGAGAAAAGACAAGAGAGTTACTAACCCAACTGCACTGAATGTCTACTGCATATACTGTCCCTGATGATTAATTGTGGTTTAAACTCTTCATTAGAGTCAACACTTGAGGCCAAACAGTGGATCACTTCACAAATCTGAGGTAGAACATTCAAAACAAGTATGATAAAATCTTTGTCAACAAATATGCATGAGTACAATTAAGTAAAAGCTTTTTTCAGTCCTTTTTCCTCAACAAAATTAACATCTTAATAGAAAAAAAAGTCCTAATTTGTGTATGATTTAAGTGAATAAAATCAAACATTTATAGAATATTTATTGAACATTTTTTATATTGTTATTGAAAAAAAATATATCGCAATAATTATTGTTATTGTTTTATTGTCCAACCCTAATGTAAGTATATAATCCATGTTACTGCAAAACATAGTCTGATTTGAAAATATAGGAGATATTTCACTGACTTTTTAAAAGCTCCAAAGTGGATATAATAAAAGAGATAAAGTTATGAGACAGGCATGCTACAAAACTTTCTCAAGTAATTAGGTGAAGTTCGTAAATCTGTGAGTTGTTTCCATTTTGTAATTCTTGAACTAGTGTTGATAAGTGATCATTTTCAGTTTACTTCATTAACAGGGAATTAATTTCATGAATGATGTATTTTTTACAAGTACAACTATATACATGTATTATGTAAGTCATTGAACTCAATTTCCCACAGTCTTCCAGGAACTCACATCTACAGTAGGTGTCCTGCTTAGAGCGGACACACAGCAGAACGCAACTCTTTTTCACGAGAGCAACAAGAGAGCCTGCCTGAGACAGGTGGCAGGTAGAGATTCCACAAATGTACATTTAACAAACATTTAACATAAAAACATTGGATCTTATTTCTCACTGACTACCTTGTGACCAACACTGTTTGTCTCCACTAACATAGAACCCCTTCCTGTGACACACACACTGTATACCGCGCCCTCTGAGCTCTATTCTCTTGGTACTGAAAATGGGCTCCAGGGGAAAATGCCCCCCTTCCTGAATTCCAGCTCCCTTTCTTCATATAGGAAATAAGGGCAAGAGAGGGAGTGTGTGTGTGTGTGTGTGTGTGTGTGTTGGGGAGGTTGTGATATAAACAGCTGTGTATATAAGAAACCAGGAGCAGTCCCTCTGAGCCATTGTGTGAGCCCTCAGGCTGAGCTGTTAAGATAACACACATACGTATGTATGGATGGATGACTACATATGGTATATGCATGTACTGCATATGTGTGTACGTGTGTCACACAGTGTCAGGTGTTCACAGATGTGAAGCCTCAGTGTGTTTACACCACATTTAAGGATGCCCCTTTGTTGTCAGGTGTATAGGACGTCTTTTAGACCTTCAAAAAGACTGAACTTTACATATAGGAAGTGTAGTAAGTACATTTTTTTATGGAATATTACATATGTTTGAGGTCTTGGGGCCACTTGCCTGTGCATTTTTTTATGGGATGGATGTATAAACACCCTTAATCAATCTTTTGTATATTGATACTCCTGCCTGCTCCACCACTCTTGAGACCCGTCAATGAAAATAATGAAAGAGAAGAAGTGCAGTCACATAAGCAGCTGATCACATGTACGTGTAAACTATCATCACTATTAAATGTCAGACAGATGATCAAAAATTAATAAAAGCATTTAGCCCCTGGCACTTTACAAAAGTATTTTGATAATATGTTTACTCAACTGCATTCTGCAGTCTGATAAATAGACAGAATTATGTGTCTCTATATAAATCGCTTCAAATGTTTGCAGCTATATTATTTGTCTCATAGTACCTGTTAAAGTACTGTAGGAGATTCGGATTTTACATTCAACTTATCCCGTGATAATGAGATAACAAACCTTAGCTGAATACAGGGGTCGTCCTGTGCGTTTCTTTAGAATAATTTCAAGAAAAATTTCCAGTGTCCCTGGTTTGCTCAGTTGGTAGAGTAGATTTTTTTTCTTTTTTGTGTGCAGTTTTTTTTTTATCCTCTTCAACAAAGTTGTTATGAAAAGATTCAGGGGAATCCAATCACACATTATCAGACGGCTAGTTAAAAGGTTCCGAAATAGCCGTCAGGAAATGTGTAACGTTAAATGGATTCCCCTGAATGAGAAGCGCAGGAATTGCCTCTGCATGATAATGATGGGTGAATGAAAAGTCCATAGGTTGATGGATGCGGACTAATCGCCGAGAAGCACGCGGTCCAGCACATGCTTTATTGTGAGCATGAAACAGTGTCTTCATAAGACCTTTGTTGAAGAGGAGAAATAAAATAGAAGATAAAAACTGGTCTTAAGGGAGGATCAAACACACAACCCTCTGACTGTGCTCTACCAACTCAGCTAACCAATCATTAAGAAATGCACAGGCTGACCCCTGTGTTAAACTACTGTTTTGTTATCTCGAGATTATGAGAAAATTATCCCGTTATCACTGGAAAACGACATTCAGAAAATTTGTCAGCCCGTAGAGGACATATGTTTAATCCTTCAACTGACCGAGTGCAAAATGGAATTCAGAATTTGTTGACCTCCTCTTTTTACATTATGTTCATCCGCTTTCTTACAAGCATCCTTTCTCAACATCCAGTACTACCTTACACCATTAAGCCTTTAATCACTGTTGTAGTGTGGTCCTTGCTCATATGTGACTCAGATCTGATCTTTTTATAACAGTGTGAACAAGCCAAGTCACATGGAATCTGACGTTTTCCAGTTCAGATTAGGGCCACTTTCATATGTGATCCAAATCTGATACAGATCGGATCTTTTTAAATGCGACCTCAGTCTGTACACCGGTATCGGAATTAATGCGACTTTGACGTCACTCTAGAGCAGCTGCTGTCACAGTTCTGCGGTAGACGGAGACGCGGTGAACAAAAAAGCTTCACAAAAGCCATAATTAAACATTTGGCTCTCTTTCTTCTCCACATTGCTTTCATCTGCTCATAAATTCCCTTTCTTTCACCTGAAATCCACCGGATCATGAGCTCTCTTCTGAGTTACGTGCATGCTACTTGTCCGTGCGGACACAGTGGAGAGAGAGAGAGAGATGTTAGTGAGTTGGGCAGATGTGTTGTACAGCGCCACAAACCGTAATGAAAAGGACAGAAGAGTCAACATCTGCACCTTGTGTGTACCTGGTCCCTGTTTGTAAAATTTCCACTACTTGTAACATCATAGGCTACCAAGTTTTTAAGTCTGTGCGAGTGAACACATGCACATAAAACGAACGCTATCCCCCTCCCGCACGCGCCCCCGATGCCATTCTCCATCCCGATCTTTCAATGTAGACATCACCCAACCTTAGTGAACTGTCAAACAAAAAAAAATGGATCTGGGAAAAAATTAGAATTGAGCATTAATGCGTGCAGTCTGAACGTAGCCTAAATAAAAAAAAATTCTCATGTTCTCATTTACTGCTTCTTTTGAAATGTTGGGATCTTTCCTGATTTCCAAATAATCTTCCGTCTTCATCAAAAGTGACGTAGAACTGCAGGGAGGAAGGTGGTTTCCTAAACTGACATAATTCCAGTTAACCAAGCACCATTACAAAAGAAACAGTCAACTTTTTAGGTAAGTTTTCGACAATCCTGTTTGTTGCCATTGTCCTGAATGAGGGAATATTCCCGTAATCTTGTACTTTCTTCCTGTTTTTTTTTCTGATGAAAAAGCTGAACATACATCACAGGATACGCCAAGTCATAACCCAGATTTCCTCTTGTCTTTGCCCCTAAAATGATGTATTTCCAGGTCTGCTCAACACTACAGGCGATGGAGGTTACACAGAAAGCAATGAGTGCGTGTGTGTTGAAGCCTGAACCTTTTTGCCTGAAGGAACGGGAAAGGTGTCTTACAACATTCAAGAGAGCACGCGGTGTTTGGAACATACTGAACATACAGATCAACAGTATGGTGGTGGTTTGAGAACCTTCTAGGTACGTTTTGGTTTTTAATGAAGCAAGCTGCAAACTCTTCCAAGCAACTAGTGATGTGCCAATCGTTTTCTGTGCAGATACTGATTCCAATCCCTCATATCAAGGTACTTGCTGACACAGCCGAACAGACACCAGTTCTTTTTTTCAGAATCAGTAAACCTCACTGCATGGAAATAAAACATGAAGCCAGAGACTAAAAGCTGAGTTGAAAACTTCATGAATGCAAGCAAAGTAAAAATGTATTTAATGCAGAAATAGATCTTTGGTAGATTAGTCTGTTAAATGGTCATGCCTGTTTTGGTTTCTTGCTCGTATCCTACCTGCATAGACTGCAACATTGCTTCAAATTGATTACTTTCACCTGAATTCAGCTGCTCACCCATAGCAGCTGGAGGCCTTTGTGGCTGATCCGACTACATTCACACTCCATGTTTTCAAAGCTGACCTCAGGCCTCTCCAGTATCAGTTTAAAGGGGCCTCATGATCGGGTCTTACATAAGGGGCCGTCGGTCCACCTCAGCCAGATTTTTTTTCTCTCTCTTTCTCTCTCTCGCTCTACTCCTCCTGAAAACAACTTTAAACAGGATGTCGAAATAGTTTGTTTAAATGTACCCAGAGTCCCGGCTGGTCCCACCCAATCAAACATGAATAAACATTTCCTGAGTGTAATTACAAATGTACAGATGCTGGCTTACACACACACACACACACACACACACACACACACACACACATTCATTCCATGTTCTATAAGTACACACCCAGATGATTCCAACTCAACACAGACAATAATGTATTGATGGTTATCTGACCATTGTGTGTGTGTGTGTGTGTGTGTGTGAGATAAAACATGCCCTCTCTTCACCACCCTGCTGTAATGTATAATGTATGTACAGCAAGTCTCAACATGCACCTTATGTAACCAAAGCCTTTGACTCATATTGTGTCTTTCTTTACTGTCTAAAAAACACACAATAAAAAATAAAAAAATTGTAATTATCTTTTAATTTTTTTTTAATTACCTAG